TATTTTAAATGGAGTGTTTGAAATCTAAACTGCCCTAGTACTGTGATAATTACTCCACAGTACAGGTGGAAGGTTAAATATTTTGGAAACCCATCCATCAAACAGCTGCGTAAACTGTAGATATTACTTCAAAAACTTACCAAACATTTGGCAAAATATAAATGTAATATATTTTTAAAAAATTAAGCCATATTTTATGAAACATTTAAACTATATCCTTCAGTGTCAGTTTAAACCGAAAACAGTTTTCGCCATATAAACTATAGGTAAAAATTTTGGAACCACCCTAAATTTCTTTAAAAAAAAACACACTATAAAATGAGATACTTTCGTATTTTTTCAAATTAAAAATTAGAATTTCAGCAACTACAGAATATTTGATTTCATTTTTTTGTCTTTCTACAAGCTCCTATTACTACCAAAAAGTTCAAATTTGGTTTCATCAGTCCAAAATACATTTTGTTAAATTATAAATATTTTGTATGAGTAACATATTTTGTTTTCAACATTAGCAACTTAGACGTTTTTAAATTACCAAAATTTTCAACTAAGTTAAATGTTAATACAGCTTCTAAATATAAACTCAAAACTGACTAATGTTGTAAACAAAACATACGAAGCTATCTCTGTTTGAAGGGAAAAAAGATTGCACTATGATAACAATATTTTCAGTTTTTTGTTTATTTTTTTAATTTTAAGTACTTTGCACAAAATGACAAAATCAAAACAGCTAAGCATTTAGGTGAGGACACAAGCTGAAGTTTTATTCAAAGTAGCCTATACTCAAAGACAACTTGCAAAGAACTTGAAGATTTCTAGATACTGGTTGCAATATTTGTTACAAAGGCAGTTAGAACGTGGCGTAAATGTTGAGAGAAAAAAAAGATGGAGTACCAAAGGTGACAACTGCTGCTGAAGATAAACACTTGTTTTTTAAAAGCAAAAGAAACAGAGTTAATAGTTGAACTCGCTTCCTCTTGACTGCAACCAGTATCGCTCGGAACCATGAAAAGTTGACTTAGTTCAGCTAGGCTTGGTGGATGCATAACCATCAAGAAACATTTGTTAGTATATTTAGCTGCCCTCCACGAGGGTTTCATGTGGCACAAGGCCGGTTTAACGTGGGTTCTCCTAGCCCTAAGGCTCGGCCAAAAATATTCCCTTTCGAACCCGTATAAACGGGTTCAGGGTCAGTCAACGTCCCCGAACGAGACTCTGCCCTTCGGCGGAGCCTTGTCCGGGTTCCTCTTTTCCTGAAGGCAGAGTGTTCGACTGTTTAGCTGGAACAGGTCACAGATGGTCTCAAGAAACACTTGTTAGGGAAGGTGAAGAAACAGAAATGACTATTATGCCCCCCCCCCCCAAGAAAAACCCCATAAGAACTGGACATTGAAAGAGTGGCAAAATTAATTGTGGTCAGACGAGTCCAAATTTCAACTTTGTGGTAGTAAGAGGAGAGTGTATGTGAGAAGGAATCCAGGAGAAAGACAGAATGATGAATGTGTGGTCTCAAAAATTATGCATGGAACTGTTATGTGATAATCTTTTAAAAGAAAATGATGCAGTTGCCGGAAAAAAAAAAAAAATTAGGGTGTTTTTAAAGAAATGTAGGTTTGTCCACAATTATTTCACCTGTAATATATTTAAACTGTAATTATAAACTATAATTTTGGTAAATGAGAATACAACTAATATGTTGAAAATTTTCCATATTTTTCTCAGAAATCAAGAAAAATACGAACTTTAGGAAAAGATTGTCATGTAACATGGAAAAAAGACGGCGTCAGGTGGATATGGGTATACTGGCGCCTTCATTTTAACTATAATTATAAAATTATAATTTTGGAAAGTAAGATTTTCACTGAAGCATGTTGATAGATATCCAAGTTTTCATCTAAATTCAAGAAAATACGAACTTTAAGCAAAAAGCTCACAATATATGGGGGGAAAAAGCGTCAGTTTTAACTGACGACAAGAAGATAGGGATCATAGCAGAGACAATGCATCTAAACAAATAGTTGTAGCTTTCTTTTAAATGAGAAAACATCGTGCAGTAATAATGTCTGCGAATAAAGTTTAAAACATTCTCGTTTCAATGGCAAATTGTTATAAACCGTTTCCGCGACATTGGAATTTGTCCTTAAACAGAATTCACTTTAAAGACTTCAAAATGAATCCTTGTTTCTTGTAATGAAAACTCATTGGGTATAGTAATTAAGCATTTTTATTTCATATTGTCTATAAATCTGCGCAGTGTCGGCATATTAAAGCTTTGTTCGGATAATCGAACTCCTGCCTTTGGGAAGAGTCGTTAATGTTGCAAGCAGTTTTCGGATAACTGAAATCCATTTTGTTGTTACTTTTTATACTTATGTTCACTAAATACAATGTCTAAGAGCCACTCAAGGTAGAGGGTTACTATGTGGTGTTGTATGAGCATAAGAAAATGCGGGAATTTAAGTAATTTATGCAGAAAAGACAACAGATAACCCTAGACAGGAAAAGGTCAAGATTGTAGTGACTGGAAAAACATGTCAAGAGTCTGCTCTATAAAGCAGCAGTTCTTGAGAAGAAGCTGTTCGAATGGAACATCTCTTACTATAGGAATGCGAATGAGGCGGGGATGATTCACTCCTGTGTACGTGGAAAAGGGTTACGGGCAGTGGGACTAAGAAAGGAAGCTCACCAGAACACATCCCATGAAAAAAGCGATAGAATAGCGAAGTTTCGTTTGTGGGAAAGAGGTTGTAGGGTGGAAAATAATTGATCGCCCACAAGGCCGCGTAGACGATTTTAAAACTTTAGAATCAAGATAGGCAAATAAGGACTGGACAGCTCTAGCGCAAATATGGCAGCGATACTTCAATCTTTTATCCGATCTGATCTGTCTCCACGTGTGCAGTGCGGTGACAGGTTTTGATAAGCCCACAGCCTTGCAGTCCACCTGATACTGGAGCGGTATAATGAACCAATCATGTTTACTGTTGTTAATAACGTTTTGGACAATGTTTTCTTTAGTTTTCTTTATGCGTATATTGCAAAAGAAACGATAAAAGGTATCTGTTTTATTTTTTACCAGGAAGATGGCGAGAAATGATTAATAATCAAGCAACCGAACTACTTTCGTCCGGTAACGCGAAGCCCATAATCTACTCTACCACGAACCTGTTTCATATAAATAACGTTATTATGAACATTTACACTAAAGTCTCGGCAGATGTCGTGCAGCAGAATTTAGACGTTTTCATCTTCCAATTCCGTGCTTTACAAAATAAATTGCTTCTTCTTTGACAATGGCATTGGTATATATGTGGAACACTGCTAAGGAATTGTGTAGAAAAATGCAATAGATTCAAGTACTATCACTGGGAACTCACTTTTTATACAAAACCTGCTGACACAGAAGACAACTCATTTTTGTGCATTTTGAAATCTCCGATTTAAATTTCAACATTCACATATATTAACCAATGAGCGACGTCATATGAAACGATATGAACCAATGAAATGAACCAATGAGCGACCTCATATGAAACGCGCTGTAGTGTTTCAAATTTTAAACAACAATATTTATCATCTGCTACGAAAATCTGAAAGCGCATTTCAGAAAATGATCCACAATATTTTCTCAACTTAAAATAAATATTTAAAAATTAGTAAAACCTTTATTAACCAATAAATTCATAAGTTTAATAAAATCTAAATTTTAGCCTTTTCAGAGTCGATTTCTCGGTTGTATAAACGATCGTATTAGTTACCAGAATTTAATTTTAATTAACTTTTGACCAAGTTAGTTTTTTCGTTATACAAGCTGAGATTTCTCAAACCTTAATTGATCACTGCATATTTATTTGAGTATACCATATTGCAAAAAAGATTTGGCGATGTTGAGTTAAGAAACACAAAAAACATGGACTGAGTTTGTTTACAAGCGTAAGCAGTAGTAATAACATAGCTACTTTCGCTGACAACTGACTACCTATTGGCTGCTTACTGCTAGAATATTACACGCATACATAAAACACGGTAAATACTCGACACACACATTCTCATATGTAGACGCATTTTATTTTCTGTTATACAAACGCAGTTGATTCGGTTGTATTGTAAAGAAATACAAACAAAATATTTTGTATGAAGTTGCTTTGCAAAGAATCTTTGTAATTAATTTCTTTCAGTTTGAAAAAAGCTAATACTCGAAAATAAAAAAAATATTTGTAGAGCCGTGTTATTTCTTCCTTTATCTTTGCCTATTTCTCTACATATGCATTTTGTTCAAATAAAATTAACACCGATTCTCAATAATGTCCAGATCAGATGGCAGAACAAGGAACAGGCAATATGTTTTGGATTTTCGTTTGATTTCAGTTCATAATTCAGTTCAATATATTCAAGCTATACCTCAACATAATCTTGTCTTTTTATTTCTCATCATCTCGAACATTTTTGTGATGTTAACAAACACTCGTTGTCACTTTCGTAATTCTGGTTTTAGTAGAGACTTTCTAAGCGCGGATACAACTATAGTACGCTGTTGAACAATACTGGTGTCAGACGCCTTCGAATATCACTCGCACTAATAGTAGTTGCTCGATAATACTCGCTCGAATAGTAATTCGTATAGTGACCCGAATAGAGAAATAGTATAGTGAATAGAGTAGAGAATAGCTGTCCGTATAATGATAGCGTAGAAATGGTAATCCTAATAGTAATAGCAGATAGAATAGAAATAAGGATCTGAATAGTAATAGAGGATAGACTAGAGATAGCGATCACTTAGTCGTTAGCTACTTGCTACATATATGAGCTTCCTCTATGGTCACGTGGTCTACTTAATTCAATAATGGGATCGCCTGTGTTTGCTTACTGGCGATCAATGTTCCAACTCAAGTGTCGGCAGCGACACTTTATTCATATATAACATTTATATAATTAACCTCAATCCTCAATCGACTGACCATCGATTTACCCCGATCCGCGATAGACTGATCCCCTATTTTTAGTTAGCAGTTCCTTTTAATTCAAACTTCTAAATCAAATTCTTCTTTCTTTCTTTCTTTCTTTCTTTCTTTCTTTCTTTCTTTCTTTCTATACGCTATATGTCTTTCTTTCTTCCTTTCTTTCTTTCTTTCTTTCTTTCTTTCTTTCTTTCTACTCGCTATATGTGTCTTTCTTTCTATGCATTCATTGATTGTTTTTTTTTTTTCAATGCAATTCTTCTTTCTTTCTATTTCATCATTGGATTTTCTTACCTTATTTGCCATACAAAGTAACTAACCCTGATTACTAATTGAAACTATTTCTTCTCCTATCACTTCTATTCAGGACCATTCCTATTATCGTTTTCTCCTCTTCCTTCTGCTCTTTTAGACCTTCTCTTCGTCTTTCTATTTCTTTTCTCATTATGCTCTTCTACTTTTCATTAAGTTATTGACATAAAATAAAGGTCAGACAAAAGAACGTGGGGGTTTCGAATCTAAACGAGAACTTTTCATTTCTTCAATATCGACTCACTGTTTGAATGAAGTTGCGAGGAGAAAGAAAGGAAAGAAATAAAGAATGACGTGAATAAATCAGTCAGTTATGTGCCACGCATGATACACGATTAGGCGATCATGTATCTTACGATACATTACTGACGAGGCAGATTTTTCCCGCGGTAGGTTGCCATTTCTTTCTGTCGTAGACCAGTTGCTATCCAAGGCTATAGAACCTGCTATTTACCCGTAGCTGGGAGAGAAGAGGATTCATACCTTTCCCAATTCGAACTCGGCTCTCCGATTCCTAACTCCGAGTCGCTATCCATTAGTCCCCCGTGACACATTGAAATTCATATTAACTGCGATTAGTAAATATATATTTATATAGATATATTGTCAATTTTCTACTACCTGGAAGTAACATTTTTCGGGATTTTCTATCTTCCCATCTCTATCTCCTTACTCTATTCTTTCTCCCAACACACACACAAACACACCCCCCACTTACACACACAAACACACACACACACACACACACACACACACACACATATATATATATATATATATATATATATATATATGCATGTATATATATATGTGTGTGTGTGTTTAAAGAGAGAGAAAGATAAAAAGAGAGTGTGAGAGAGAGAAACAGAGAAAGTGGATATAGGAATCGACATTACAGTTAGTTTCACGCCCCAGTGTGATCATCAGACCAAGGCATTTTGAAAATCGCATTGAGGTATGAAACTGACAGTCACTATACAATGTTCATTCCTATGACTATACCGTCTATCTCTATAAATGCTCTATCTCCGCCATGAAGCGCTCTTTGCACTTTGAATATAGCAAATTTTAAACAATATATATATATATATGTATATATATATATATATATATATATATATGTGTGTGTGTGTGTGTATTATATATGATAAAAATATAGTTTTAAGGTATGCTATATTTGTAGGTAAAAGTGCTCAGTATCAGAGTTAGAGTGTATGTAAATATAAAAGGGAATTCTGAAGCCAACACCTAGTGGCGATAGTCTGTTTCATCGTTGATCGCAATCTTCAAACCATGAAGATTGCGTTCAGAGAGAATTTCATTATGTCTACCCACGTTTCACCATTTTCCTCCAAGGCAAAAAAACTTCTAGAAAAATGGTAAAAGTTTCTGAATTATACTAAAGAACGTTAATAATATTTGTGGTGCCTATGTTACAGAATAAATTGTAATTAAACATGAATTTTCGATATTTTTTCGATATACGGTCAATATCTAGAATAAATAAACAGAAATTGGAAATAAATATCAAGTAATTCTGTTTCCGAAAATACCATTTTTATTTTTATTAAGTTCTACTTCTTCTGAAGATCTGTGTTCAGAGAATTTGTGTTGGCATTAAATTCGGATATTTCTTTCTTTTATAAGGTTTTCTGTTGATCCTTCGGTGTTACTTTAGAATGCCTTTTACCTCAAAATTCAAGATTTAGGACCCAACTAAAGAGTACTTAGATTTTATATAGAAATGTGATTTCAGCAGGTGTTTCCTACTTCCGATACCATAAGTGAATCTGTTTCTTTTGTTGTTTTTCGGAGTATGAGTTTTGACAAAGGTGTGGCTTCAAATGTATAATTTCCATAAGATGCAACAAGATTTCCAGTGCTTGGATAATGGACTTCATATAAATAAAAGATCAAAAGATGAAACACTGTAAACGTTGTTGTCCTAAATCTGCGCTAAGTAAACATACACGAAATCGTATAAATATCCTGAAATAAATTCCAAAGAAATAACAATTCTGCCATTAATAGGAAATTGAAATTATTTTTATGAACATTATTATTGAGTTAGAGAGCAGTACACTAGCAAAATGATACTGAAGTGCAAATATATGAGACCCGATACACCCATCATGACACCCAGGCTCATAAACTCATCACGGTCCGACGTGTGCAGCATGGTGAGAGGTTTTGACTAAAGAAGCTCACAACCTTGCGTGAGAACCAGGTCAGGTAGCCCAGCCCTTGACTCCGATTGAAAGTACTCATAATTATCTAGATGCGATTCCCAATTCACTTTGGTTGCTTCATCCTTAAAACTGTAATAAATAAATAAAATCAACTCTCTCTCCAACCGGTATCTATTAGAACGCATGCCATGGATATAGCGATTGAGTAGAGAGAGGCTTGCGACGTTTCGTCTGTGGTAAAGAGATTGTTAGGTGGAAAATAATTCATCACCGTCAAGGCCGCGTAGACACTTTTGAACACTATCAAGACAGGTAAATGAGGACATTATTATTATCATTATTATCATTATTATTATTATTATTATTGAGAGTTCACACCGGTATTAAATGGGGACTTATACAGCAGATTAAGTGACAGAAAGCGACCCCCAGTATTTGAGGAGGTTACTCAGTATTCATTCTAGCTGTTATCGACAGTGCCACGGTTTGGATGGTTCCAATTCTTTGTTTAATTTTCAGCTGCAAGACTTTTTTTCTCTCTCCAGACTCAGGCTGTTCGGGACCGTTCCCGGCACTCCGATAGCAACTGGTACGACCCCTAACTTTATGCAAAAAAAAAAAAATCAGTTCTTTGTCACAGTCATTTTCTTCTAGACAATTTCCAATTCGCTGGAGCATCTAACTCCATTACCTGCCATATTTTCTTATTCTTGTTTACTAATTGCAGATAATAATAATAATAATAATAATAACAAACCAAGTTCAAAATGGAGTTTCAAATGGGTGCAGAAATACAAGTAAAACAATACACCGGCTGAAGCTGCAAAATATTTAAAAAAGAAAGCAAAAGCAAATGAAACCGATCATATACAAAAACAGTGGCAAGATAAACCGCTTCATGGCCAATACTCTGCCCCTCCCAAACAATCTGATGTAGACAAGCCCCGTGCCCATCAGTGGCTACGTAGTACAGGGTTAAAAGCTGAAACGGAAGGGTTTATCCTTGCTCCACAGGACCAATGCTTGTTAACTATAAATTATCAAGCACAAATACTAAAATATTGTCAGCCCAAAATGTAGATTCTGTGATAGATATCCAGAAACAAATGACCATCTTGTATCAGGTTGCACGGTATTAGCCCCACTGAATATAAAATCCGACATGACAGAGTGAGCTAATATCTGCACTGGAGAATATGCAACTTTTATGGGACTGCACAATACACACAGAACAATCAAATCAACCGCCCAGACATTGTTATTAGAGACCGCAAACAAAAAAAAAAAATTGCCTCCTTATTGATATGAAAGTCCCTGCAGTTCAAAAGCTATCAAAATACAAAGACCTAGAAATCGAAATCTCACAAATGTGGCACATATGAACATCAACAATCCCTGATCTAACTGGGACCTTCGGATAAGTTGGAAAAGATTCCAGTAGAATCATTGAAGGAAGTCTTAAAGGCCCACACCTTACGAAGGGATGTAACTATGTAAAATATGTGTGTGTGTGTGTGAGTGATTTTTTTTTAAATTTGTTAGTGGAATATATCATGATGCCATTTCTAACCTTAGGTCTCTGGGCAGGATCCGGAAAGAAATGTATACACACCAAAATCAAAGAAAAATATAATAATAATAATAATAATAATAATAATAAGGACCTTGAAATAGAAATCTCGAAAATGTGGCATATGGGAACATCAACAATCCCTGTTGCAGTTGGAGCCCTAGGACTGGTTGGAAAAGATTGCAGTAGACTAATTGAAGGGATTCCTGGAAGTCCATGCCTCAAGGAGATACAAAAAATTGTTCTGACAAGTACAGCCCACACTTTACGAAGGGCTTTATCTATGTATTTTTTTTGTCAGTGGAAAGTGTCATGATGCCATTTCTAACCTTAGGTCCCTGGGCGGGATCCGGAAAGAAATGTGTAAACGCCAGAAATCAAAGATAATAATAATAATAATAATAATAATAATAATAATAATAATAAATGCCATGATCCTCCACCAAGCCTCTTTGTTACGGCTTCTAATCTTTCGTGAATTTGCTTATCAAATGCCTGACCATAAGGAATTGCAATTTTCCCCTAGGGTGAAAAGTGCGAGAAAAGAGACTGTTACAGACATAACTCATTATACGTTTTATGTCACTGACTTCCTAATTCTTGCTTCCTTGACAATTAAAATCTTCAAAAATTAAATGTATCGTCCATCGCCATTTTCTGTCTTCCTAAATCCTGTTCCTTTATTATCATTTCCTCATTTCTCTTCACTAAATTCTTATCATTCTCTTTCACTTTCACACTGAGTTTTATGGTAATCATCACCTTGCTTTCATTGGAAAATGCTCCCATAGGCTCACTGAAGGGATTCCTGGTAGCCAATGCCCTAAAGAAATACAAAAAATATACCCAGAAGTATAGCTCACACATTACGAAGAGCTTTTTCCAAGACCTTAGGGTTTTTCTTATTTGCAAAAATATCCAGAGAAAAATGTCATGAAGCCATTTCTGACATTAGTTTCTCTGGTTGGGACCCGGAAGGAAAAATGTATACAACAGAAAGCAAAGGAAATAACAACAGCAACAACAACAATAACAATAATAATAATAACAACAACAACAACATGTATGCTTTAACATGAGCATGTTTTGGATGTTGGCAGGGTTGTGTACTTTTAAGTTTGAAAGATATGGCAACCAAATCGACTTCGATGTCACGCCTAGAAATACCCTCAATCAGAGACTCTGCAAGCGGACTGAGTTACCCAAAATAAATGTATTTCTAACATGGTTTCATATAATTGTATCCCAGCGTCATTTTGCTGGGTTGCTGCTCACTGATTCAATAATAATAATGATAATAATAATAATAATAACAATTATTACTATTATTATATTTATTAACCATTTATTAACCACTTTTTCCTCTCATAATGCATTTCGACTTCAAATTTCTCACAATTTCCATCCAAGTTATCAAATGCAGCAGATGTCTCGCGTTCCATTCATGACTAGATTAAAAAAAAAAAACTTGCTTCTTGCTCAACAAATCAAAAGAAACTTTTAATGAAAATTTCCTTTCGTTTGTGAAACGAATGATTCTCTTCATAAAATGAGTAAGGGAAGCAGCCTCAATTCGGCTTGTCTTGAGGATATATATATATATATATATATATATATATATAGAGAGAGAGAGAGAGAGATAGATAGATAGATAGATAGATAGGGTGGTCGGAATGTCTTGTCACCCTACCTCTCTTTCAAACCATAGTAACTCGTGTCAGCCATCTGAAATAGAAAATTATATTATATATGGGACCAAAATTTATGCTTATGCCAACGGAAGTACCCCGCACTGGATTACTGAACATTATGGCAGCAATGACAGGCGAATGGCCAATAAGAAGTCAGACTTTTTTCTTGTTGATAACTTCAAAACGGTAGGTTTTTTCATAATTTAATTGTTAATTCGAGTTCAGCATGTACATTTAGACGGAATTATGACGATTTGGGAAACTTTTAAGAGATATTTAGCTAGGGCGTTAAAAAGCAAATTTACCAATTATTTTAAGAGGCTTCACGGTTAGACAGACAGCTGAATGATATTTTTACATAGTAGCGAGTAACCGACAAAGTTTAGTGATATCGTAAGGTAATATTGGAGCACCTGATTTTAATTGTGATATTGGTTTAGTTCGGAAATTATGATTCACTCCAAGGTATAGCGATAAAATTAAGACGTTGCTTGAGATTACGACAAAGAAAATCACTCAAATTCAAACTATTGTTCTCGCATGAAAACATACTTAAAATTAGGAAGAGACAAGTTATATAATGAGGAAAGGAGGCTTGGAAAACTTGATACTTACAAGAAAGATTAAAAGCAAGAGGCAGAGGAAAACAGCACAAAATCTACCGAGCGAGCTCGGGTAAATGGATGGAGGAGCAAGGTTCAGGAGGGCTAAAGAAAATTGTAGAGAGCCGTGTCTTTTCAGGCCTTTTGCGTGATCTCACAGAGAAGAATAATTATAGAAGCAACTTTTCGATGAAATATCAATTTGGTCATCATCAGGTGTCTATTATTTTGACAGATACGTAATATTCTATATAATCGTTGATTAGAGTGTTATTCTGTCCTGATATCTAGTTTACAACTATATCACGTTAAAACACCGGTTCTATTATACGATCAATGAAGTTAAGCAACGTCGAGCTTGGTTGGTACAAAGATGATGTAATCTTGGCTATGCCAGTGGTATAATAGATAACGACTTGGAATTGGAAATCAGAGAAAAGAATTCCCGTCGTTCTCTTCATGTTTTCTTAGACGCAAATAGAAAAGTATGAATCCATTTCTTCTCCCTCCAGCTATGGGTTAATTAGTATGGTTTATATCAGCAAATCATTACTATCTCCATAAAATTCTTATAATCTAAAAAAAATATGACATGTACTGTAAAGGTTTGACCAGCTGTAAAAAAGCAATAAATAAATTAAAAACAACGTGCTCAATGTTCTTGTTGCTTCATAAACCAGTCTATATTATTTCTCTATCTGACTCAGGGATTGAACTTACGAATATAAGATAACAACAGTACTTCATAAAACAACGCCTATATTCACTACGCGACCGTTCAGAAAATCGTATTAATATTTTTCGTTATCACAGCGAATTCGTGCTGCTTTTGTGATAAGTTTGATTTTTGAGGTGCGGAATTGCCAATGCGAGCGAAAAAAAATATTTGATTTTTCGATTAATCTAGTTATTCAAATAAGTCGTGGCATTTTGACAGTTGCCGATCTCAAAACCATCTAATACTAGATATAGTTCAAAAAGGTTACGAAGACACCAAAAAAAAAAAAAAAACATCACAAAGAAAAATAACACAATAATCGACACGCGTAAAATATCCCATATCAGCTAAAAAATACCTAAGCTGAAGGTGACAAAAAAATGCTTGTCCGAAACGTCGGGACTATAATAACATCTATAATAATCATTATAACATATATAATAATCATTATAACATATATAATAATAATTATAACATCTATAATGATCATTAGTACGAGTAATCAAATGTTATATTGATAATTCCGCATCCCCAGATTCAAAATAAAAATACACCAACTATTCAGATGAAGCGTTGAAAATCATTTACGACGTTTATGTTAGTTTCTTTATGTCATTTGCTTCCATTTATATTTTCAGCGGAAACAAACCAAGATTATCGTATGTGAGCGAGATTTTCTTCTTAAATATAACGAAAATGTTCCGTTTTGTGAGAATCGATGAAAAGTTGATGGCTTACAACATGGAATGTATCAAATGTTCGGTCAAGTTTAAATTAAACACCCATTAACAATGGCAAAAATCGATTTTTTTCCAAATAATTTTAAATTTATTTTATGCTGCGTATATAGTGGAATTGGAATGGACCCCTCTACTATTAGCTTTTTCTGAAGAACCAAACGGTTGATTTGAACAAATACCGCTCCCAATTACATTAACGGAGGGGAGCAATAGCTGAACAGCATGTTTGGAATTAGTCAAGAGAAAGGGAGTTGGTTAATATTAGGAAAACATATTTCTTTGGTGATTAAACAAAAATTGGTACACCCTGGATAGGAGATTAAAAAAATCCTCTAATGTATTTTAAAACTATTGTATTTACAGATTAGCACTGATCCTGGCCTTTAGAGAATTCTCTTGGTGAAAAAAAATCAATTCTCTGGAACACTGCAAAAGGCACCTTTACATAAAGTGTTAATGGAAAAAGTCACTACCCTGAAAAAATATCCTCTTTGAGTAATTATTTGCTGAGAAAGGTAAAGTATTCTGTGATGATGGAATTATAAAAATATCTGGGAAATGGTGGAAGAGTAAATATTAACTTCAATAACTTGAATATTGAAAAAAGAATTACTTAATAAAACAATAAGCTAAAGAAAGAAGCCTTTTGGCTACTGTTCTTTTAAATATAGAGATTAAAGAAGAATAACAAAACAGAAGATTTTCCACAAGGAATATCATACTTGGTGACGTTCTGGAAAATTAGAACTAAATAGAAAATCCTTTGAGCCATTCTAGTTATAATGGAAAATGATTATCATTGAAATCACTCCCTCGTAGCTTACGCTCATTCTTGTGTAGTTTACACAAAAGGGGAGTTTTTATATCCAGATATTTACCCATAGACAAATAGATCTCTATATAAATAAACAATATAATACAGTATAAAATGATGGCGGCATGGTGAAGTAATGGTAAGCGGTTCGGTTTGCCGAATTGGAGAGCAGAGTTCGAATTCCAGTCGAGTTAATACCCTTGGAAAATGTATGAATCCATCTGCTTTTCCTTCTCATAGCAGCAGAGACTCTTGGTATATAGGAATAAAGCGTCGCTGCCGACACTGGAGTTTGAACACAGATCACCAGAGAGCAAACATAGGCGATCCCATTCTGAATAAGTAGATAACGTGATGATAAAGGAAATGTATATATGGGAATTTCGTGGCGTCAAAGGGATGGTTATACGGATCCACTATACGGTGATTACTATTCGAACGAGTATTATCGAGCAAGTACTATTAGTACGAGTGATATTCGAAGGCGTCTGACACCAGTATTGTTCAACGGCGTTACTATAGTTGTATCTGCGATTACAAAGTCTCTACTACAACGAGCATTACGAAAGTGACAACGAGTATTCGTTGACATTACAAAAGTGACAATCAGTGTTCGTTGACATCACAAAAGTTCTATAGACGTAGGTGGCAACCAGTTTAGGAGAAGGAAACTCTGAATTCAAGCCACCTGTCGCTTTGTAGGCCTTGCCTCTTTAGGCAAGGGATAGAAAATAGCTTCAAAAACAAATCCATCTTTGAGAGGAGAGACGGGTAACCCCAAGAAGGAAACGGAAAGCTATAGCACTATTCTACCTTGAATATCTCGGTGAACCACAATTGGGGGGGAGACCACAGCGAAATGAATAAAATGCATGAAACTCTATAATTAACAATTAACAGTTATCTCCCTTGAAAAATATTCAGCGCGATTTTAAACCCCACAATGACCCAGATGTATTTTTTATGGTATTAAGTTAACCAATTTTAGCATAATTCAATACCTTTTGCTAGTGATAGTAAGTCTACCGGACACTGAGGCGGTCGCTTTAATTTTTAATTTTTAATTTTTTTTCTTGCTGACCTCTTAATAATATCTTCAAGTTGGGTTCAATTCATCCTTGGATTCCTAGTTCTATCATCATCGCACGGCCCTTCGAAACTGTTCCGAGTGCGCCAGTAATAATGAGTATTCATTTATATCTATCCGTTCCGTCCATATCTATCTATCTATCTATCTATCTATCTATCTATCTATCTATCTATCTATCTATCTGTCCGTTTTGTCTGTTCTTATCTATCTATCTGATAAAACACTTAGCTACTTCGTTCAAATATATCCCTTTCCAGGACATATCACTATCTATCTATCTATGTCTTTTTCTAAACGGATGTACCAAAAACTTTGATTCAGCAGAAAATTAGATGTTATCCATTTTTTCAGTTCTCTGATAAAGTTCAGATAATCTCCTTGCTATATTGGGATTGTTCCAAGTACCCCAATAATGATGGGTACAATTGTATCTTCTCGTTTCATACTTTTTTTCTCTTCTTCATCAAGGTTAAGAGATCTCCTCCCGTATCATTGTTTACTTTGCTAGAATATAACATTTACCATTTGACAGTTCTACGTTGGTGACACATCTCGTCGTCTAGATCTGGAGTCACGATTTGGATTGAATTTCTCATCTGAATTTGAATATTCCAAACATTTTGATTTTTTGTTTGGTCACACATGCATCTGCGTGATTAAATTCCAGGGTTGTCATATTTGAGTAGGAGTTTCCTAGTCCTCACTTTATAGTCTTGATAGAATTCAAAAGCGTCCCGGGGTCCTAGTTGGAGAAGAATTATTTTCCACCCTCCAAACTCTCACCCACAGGCGGAATGTGCCGAGTTCTCTCACTGCTCTATCGTTACTTCCATGGAAAGTGCTTGGACGAACTACATTCCTTGGTTCCGCCAAGTATAACCTCTTTCACCGCCAGGACCCGCCATGTCACTTACATTATAGTAAACCATCCAAATTCCCTCCTTATTCCAGACTCCTGAGGTAATGTTTCCCGGATCACTAGAATTTTAACCAGTTCAAGTCTAGAGTTAACCGTTATCTTTTCCTCCTATCCATATAAACTACCTCTTAACGTAATGTTGACCATATTCACATAGTCTGTGAATATAGAATACAGCGCAGTACGTAATCTGTTCAATGAAACAACGTTAAAGATTAACACTCACGAGTCAGACACTTTACTGAATCTGACTATATCGCCAATACCACCAGCAGCTGTTCCGTAATTCTTCAGTCTTCGATATCAAAGGCTGGCAGTGCATATTCGGGAAAAAAATATGGCCACCTTTATACACGTCGCATTGAATATTTTGAGGCTTCTGATTGGTTAACCCTTCTATTGGTGAACTATAAAATGAGTCAGCTCATTTTGGCTGGCTCACTAGTACACCAGGGTACCCAAAAATTCCAACACGTAACCTTCTACCTCGAGTGGTCCCCGGGTCTTGTACAGGGTGAACATTACTGTAAAAAAATCTTTGCTAATTTGGTTTATCCTTCCATTATATGATTAGCACGATTCTAAGAAAATATAGAATATGAGTAGTGGATCATCTACGCTCTGTGGAGAGACTGGTACGATTCTTAACAGTATGTATGAAGGTATGCCACGATACCAAAGTGGTATAGATGTATGTCTTTGTCAGTGTCGTCCGCTCCTAATGCTGGCAACTCTTCGACGAGCAGCAGAAACTTTGCTCGTAGATTATCATCACGTGAAAATAATGGCTTGTAGACATCTCCTCTTACTGGATTCGAACAAATCTGACCCTTCGGCAAACAATTCAGAGGGACGTTCATTTCCAAATACATAACGAACTGCTTTGTCCAGTTTGATTCTCCATCCATTCCACCTGCTCTGTCCCACTGTCTGCCTCTTTGACCAGTGATATATATAGAGAAGAGACATTTGCATCTATTGACAAATTTCGTCATGCCAATATCCAGTAAAGCCGATGGGGAATTTTGATGTCGGTGAAATGACTGAAAAAATAATTATCGCCAAAACTTTTGGATGAGCAGACCTACATTTCCAAAGTTCTATATCCTTCAGACATTATCACACTCGAACGTAAATGACAAAAGTTAAATATATATATATATATATATATATATATATGAAAAATTCGGTTCATATCTATCTATCTATCTATCTATCTATCTATCTATCTATCTATCCCATTGTAATTATACCTATATTGACCTTCATATATATCTATCCATTCCGTTCATATCTATCTATCTATCTATCTATCTATCTATCTATCTATCTATCTATCTATCTATCTATCTATCTATCCGTTTTGTCTGTTCTTGCCTATCTATCTATCTATCTATCTATCTATCTATCTATCTATCTATCCCATTGTAATTATACCTATATTACCCTTCATATATATCTATCCATTCCGTTCATATCTATCTATATATCTATCCGTTTTGTCTGTTCTTGCCTATCTATCTATCTATCTATCTATCTATCTATCTATCTATCTATCTATCTCTGTCCGTTTTGTCTGTTCTTGCCTATCTATCTATCTATCTATCTATCTATCTATCTATCTATCTATGTCTTTTTCTAAACGGGTGTGCCAAAAACCTTGATTCAGCAGAAAAGTAGATGATTTAGCCTACCCGTATTTTTTAAATAGACTCAGTAAAAAATAGGTAAAAAAGTAGTTTAGATGCAGCTGTGTAATTATGGAAGCCGTTGAAAGCTAACCCGGCTGACTACCGCTTGACTGTGGAATTAGTATTGTGATCAGAAAGATGGGACACTATATTCGGAGGTAGCGGAATTCCTAATTATTTTCGGTCAGTAGTAGCAAGAGTATATCATGATATGTGAATTATGGACAGACGTCAGCGGTAAGTAAAAAAAAAATATGGCTTATATTAAAACGGGACCGTCGGTGACTGATAAAAATTGTATCCATCTAACAAGAGGAAAATGGCGTCAAATCACATCCAATTCAATTGTAATATTCTCAGTTGTTGCGCATCAACTGAACCAGAATGTATTGCCATTGGACTGTGGAATGCTGTTATTGTGTCTCGTTTATACAACTTCCGGGTAGATGGTCGCGTTAACCTGGCCGGTGGTCTCGAAAACGACCTCTAATCTGTGGTTGACTGGAACAGGAAATGTCATGATGTGAATTTTAATGCATCCAAAAAGAAACTGCTGTCACTTACTCACCATAGAGAAGCATCCCTGCCTCCTATCAGGATGGTTGATGGTCAACTCCACGAGAGCGCCTCACTGCGCCTTCTTAGTCTCACGTTTTCCACTGACCTGAGGTGGTACAACGACATTGAATCAATAGCTGCATCTATCGCAAGGAAAGTTGTTTCTCTCTGTCGCGCCAGAAGGTTGTGTTGAGAAGACCATATAAGCCAATGCATCCAGTGTAATATACGGATGTTATGGGAACTAGTATTAGCACTGTAATGGCCTAAGATGTATTCTGCTGGACTTTGCAAGGAACGTATTACAGCTGGTTCTTTTTTTTAGCGGGGTGACAAATATAGATCTTCTTGTATATCATTTGTAACCACTTATGCTTGCCATGTTTCCCAGTCGTGATGGTTTGTTCCAGTGAGATAACGCAAACCTCCATCGTGCCCAGATGACGCAAAACCGTTTCCAAAAAAAACAAAAAAAAACTCGGATAATTCCCATGTCTTGCATTGTACTCGGAGCTCGCTAGATTTAAATGCCATTGAGTACATATCGGACATGTTGCAACCAGCAAACAGTTATGGACAGCACTGAAATCTTCCTGGGTAGCTATACAAATACAACGAATTGTAGACTCCACTCAACATCTTATAACTGCCGTTATTCATACAAAGGTAGGGGTTACACGTTAATATTCAGATCTAACTTTATGCTGGAAGATGTTATTATGGCTTTGTTGAGTGACAGGACAGGTCGCATATTTTCCATTTGTGTCAATCGACTGTATTCCAGTTCAGATGAAAGTTCAGATGAAAGATAAGATTTCAAATTCTGCTTTTTACGACAGCAAGTCCCTCGGCGCCCGGGAAGTTACTGTCAATAAATGTTCCTTTCCCGCAGATTAAGATAAAGAAAGTATTTTTTTATATGATATATATTTCACACACAGACATACACGCGCACGTACACACACACACACATATATATATATATATGAAAATTTAAAAAACTATTTTGGCATCAAAAAATATTTTATTTTATGAGGAGTCTAATTTATCGGCGAAACATGGCAAAATAGATGCTTTCCAAGCTGCCATATATTTGCCATTCTTTTGTATTCTGATCCAAACATTACTCATATATACATTAAACTGAAATGCTTTGTTTAAACATACATGGAATCCATAGATTTCTTAAAACTTCTTCAATTCGGAACGCCACAAATTATACTAACGTTTGTTTAACAAGTCGAATGGACGTGAAACCTGATTAATCAATGAATATCAAACAACACAAAAATAAAAAATACCAGAATCTCTTTAATCTTTTTCTCTATATCTTATTTTCTAACGAAGCATTAATAGAAGTGAAACATATTGATTAGGTTTCCGATTTGTTCTTTATATACATACTAGCCGAATTACCCGCGCCTTGCTGCGTATCACACATTTTTTATAAGAAAATGATGATTGATTTTAAATCGTTTTTATAATTTGTGGAGAAAAATGATGCCATTCAATATTACTCAATGACCTTGCCGATTTGACCTCCATCTTCTGTCTTTCTCCTTCTATATTTTGGATAGGAGTCATTCCCTTGTTCAAATTTAAATTTAAAAAATTCAGTGGTGGGGGGAACAAAAAACAGCTTGATCCGAACACTTTGATTTGCCTTTGATGCAATACTTGATTGAATTAATTAATGAGCAGATTTCAACATTGATATGACAGTTGAATTGTCGCAAAAAATTGTGTTGTAAGGCACTACTCAATGATTAGTGATTTCTTGCTCAGCTTGACGTCCATATTGTCTAATTTTGATCTTGCCGATGTGATCTCCATCTTCTGGCTTTCTCCTTCTATATTTTGGATAGGAGTCAATCATATTTTCAAATTTAAATTTAATTTAAATCAAAGAGAAAATTTTTAGTGTGTGTGTGGAGGAGGTGGCCCTCGGGGATTCCCTTTGATCAAAATGAAATATACTTATCCAAGTACCCTAGGAGTCATAACCTTGTTCAAAATTTAAATTTAATTTATATCAAAGGGAAAAAAATCCGTGGTTGTTTGTGCATACCCCTCCGGTGACCCCTTTGATCAAAATGAAATATACTTATCCAGGGTAATGTACTTTCAGTATATGCATGGTTATGGGAG